ACAAAATAAAGACAACAAAAAAGACCCTACAAAGCTTTGTCCTAGGGGAGGTCTTGACATTGCAGGAACCAATTTTACACAGAAATAGCAATTTGATGGAAAATTCCCAGTGAGCTCTAGTCCCCACCCTATGCTTCATTAACTCTACAGGTGACAGGGTTTTATGCAATTACGTTGTGAACACCTTTTAAAGATGTGATTCTTTTCAATTTTTAAGTCTATGACTATAATGAAGTGTATTTTATTAGGTAATCAGCTTAAGGCTTCTGCAGCCACCAGTGCTTTTGAGCACTTTTAAATAATTGATCTGATTATTCCAGAGATCAGAAGGAACTAGATAGATGGCTTTCACTGCTTAATTCCCTTGCCATGCATGAACAATGCACATAATTAATACCTTCACAGACCTGTATTTTTCATTGAAAGGGTATTAGAAAAAGAGAGAGACAAAAATTTCAAAGCATTGCCTCTGAACAAAGATGCTCCAGGCTGTAGCATGTCCACCTGGCATCCCCGATGCCCACAGGGAGGGGTACTTTTCAGCTTTCCCCATCCACCTGCTCCCCATTGCATATACCAAACCCAGAAGTGTGATAGTGAAGGCACTTCATGGGAGTTGTAGCACCACGGCTGTTCCCAAGGTCACTGTCTCTGGTGTGCTTGAGAACGTGTCCTCAGAGCAGGTTCACTGATGCCTTTCTTGGTCGGATGCGTGAGTGGGACCAGGCGGGTGTCGGATCCTAGGAGGGTTGCTGGGGATGTGGCACCAGTAGACCCTTTCATGTCCACCCTGCCCCATGGCCTGGTACTCTCGGCTCTCCTCAGAACGATGTGGGAGACTCTTGGGGTGACTTCTCCTGGGAGCCTCCCGGCATTGGCAGCTCTGCCATTTTAATGAGAACCTTGCAGTTTTATGTTATATTTAAATCTCCAGCTGCTGGAGTCAGGGGACTTAGGCTCTTTGCTTTCAATGAATCCCCATGCCCGCTTGAGTCTGTAGTGCAGATCACATGCCAGGGAGGTAGGAGAGCAGTCCGCAGGCTCCAATAAGCACAGGGAAACCCACAGCCCAGGACTTTTCACCGTCTTGAGATTTCGGGGGACCGGACCCATGGGATTTAGGAGGATGGGCCTTAGTAACCCGCAAGCCCAAGCCTCTTCCTGCTGGGCACTGTGCAAGGCACAAAAAGCCAGAGCCGGCCTTGACCTGCCCGGGCCACCACAAGGATGCTCGAGCAGGCGGTACCTCCCAGACCCGCCTTACTCCTAGCTGAGGGCACAGCGTGAGCGAGAGTGCGTCAACTGAGCCTCGCGGGTGGCGTGCGCATGCGCGCTAGCCACACCGCCTTTGCTCCTAGATGAAGGGCAGCATTAAGTGCTTGGTGTAAGGGAAAGGGCTTCAACTGGGCCTCAGGGCTGAGTGCGCATGCGTAAATTCCCCCTTTGCTCTTGGGTAAAGGCAGCACTAGGGGCACTGTGTAAGGGACAGGGCTTCCATTGGGCCTCACCGTTGAGTTGCGCATGCGTTCACGTACGCCATTCGCTCCGAGGTAAGGGCAGCACTGGGTACACTGATAGTGTAAAAGCAGGGCTTTGTTTGGGCCTTACTTCCACCGTGCGCATGCTCCTTGGGTGGGAAGTTAGCTGCGCAGGCTTAGTGGGCGAGGTTTGAGCGGTGGCGCGGGAGCGGAATGCGGCGGCGGCGGCGGGCGGGAAGCTGTGCGGGGCCGCTGCCGGCAGCCATTGGGG